TATACACAATTTACCATTTAAATTGTAAATGTTATTAACCTTGCAGTAAATTTTACAATATAAACTTTAATATTACAATACATACTGTAAATATTACAATACATACTGTAAATATTACAATACATGCTGTAAATTTTACAATGCATATGAAAAATATAGGTACAGTAGTGATTGTAATTATTTCAATTTATATTGTAGATATTAAAATACAGATTGTAAATTTTTCAATACAGATGAAAGATATTACAGATTATGAGATTTGTTACAAAGAAAAGTAATCTATGTCTCCTAACAAAATATTTGTTTCACAATTATTTTAAATTATCAAAATTATGAAGTATAAATTTTAAATTTTCAAAATTTTAAAGTACAATAGCTTTACAAGAATTAGAAATTATTATAAAAGGTTGAAATGTTTATGGACATTTTCAAGGCTTCTTGTATGTTATTTGGATTAATGCAATTGAACTCTCACTGTCACATATACACATTATTACTTTACACTTTCATTCTCAGAATGTAGATGAAATTATAAATTTTATTATAAATTATGGTCAAAATAATAGTGAAAGTGAAAATAAAACTTTAGTGTAATTAAAAGTGAAAGTGTAAAGTAATAATTTGCGTATAAATAGTAAATTGTAAGAATGAAATATATAAGCGAATCTATATTGTAATATATAATATCTATTGTATCATTTGGCATATATTTTGGACCATTTAAATTTTTAATGAAATTTCGCGAACGCACCTCTGATTGTAAATATTACAAAAGCAGTTTATAAATTTTACAATGTAGATGGTGAAGTTTAGAATGCAGTCTGTAAACGTTACAATACAGATAGTAAAGTTTACAATACAGTCTGTAAACGTTACAATACAGATAGTAAAGTTTACAATACAGTCTGTAAACGTTACAATACACATAGTGAATTTTACAATACCGATTGTGAACTTTACAATACAGACTGTGAAGTTTAAAACACACATTGTAATTATTTCTATAAATATTCTGAATGTTACAATACAGATTGTAAGTGTTTCAATGTGAATTTCAGTCATATTTTAAGAAAAGAATATAGTTTTTGTATAACGAAAGAAAGTGCAGAGGTTTATTTTTTTAAGAAAAATAAAATTCACATATATATATATGTAGAAGGTAATCAGAGAAGGGTGGAAATAAGGAAGGGGCGTTTTTACATCATACAAAGCAAATTATGGATTGTATATATTTACGGATGAGATATACCCTTTTATACATAGATGCCAGAAGCATGCACGAGCGTTTGATCGCAATGTATCACATGACCGGATGTGGGGGTAGGTAAATTGGTCGTCAATTGCTGACGCCACCAAGAGCTGCAATCCATTCGGTCTTATATACGTTTACGCCTATTTTCACCTGTCCAATTCATTTTCGTTCACTCACCCCACATTCTCTCCTTCTTTCTTTATATTCACATTCTACCTTGTTCACATCTCGTTTCCTAACATTTATCATTGTATGTACACGGAAAGAAATTTTCTGTAGAATTTACAGAAACTCCTGCGCCATCTACTGATGTTTCTCCAAATAGAGAAATATGTTGAATCATTGGCATTAAAATCTGTTAATTCTACAAGTTTGAGCTACAGTTCTTAAAAACTGTTGAGTGACCAAATTATGTATACTATATGGGGATAATATATATTTGGTATAGAGTATTTCTTATAGGTTATATTCTCCTCCGAATACATTAAATTCGCGGAACATTATTGTATAAATTAGTATAACTTCTATGTAAATAAATTCATCCTTCAATAATTTTCTAACAAAAAAAATGAGGAGCAAGTTTTCAAAACTTATGATAAATCCACTTTTTCTTATGTCGAGAAATTGAAACAAACGACTATATTCTCACTTAATCACTACAGTTAATTTAAAAATAAAAAATTTGTAATAATTTATTTCTATAATAATGTTTATATACTTAAGACGTTTCCTTTTTAATTAAACTTTCTTTCCGACACTATGATAATAATAAAAACACTAAATTCGCCTTAACCTCTCGCACTCAATCGTACTCAGCCTTAGTCGAATCACTGCATTGTTTTCGCGCATGCGTTAAATCTTTACAGAAAATATCTGTAGAATTAACAGATTTAGGAACATGTAAAATCTCCAAATCGATGTTAAAGAATTACCAGAAAATTTTTTTCCGTGTATGCTCATTTCATAATATCTACGTAATATATGTTTGCCTTTTTTAGGGTTTCGTGGCCCAAGGCCGAAAGCCTTATAGTTTCGCTTTGACGTCCGTCCGTCCGTCCGTCGTACACTCAAATGGTTCCCATGGAAACAGATACCATAGCAATCGTCTGTCCATTCTTCCGTCCGTCATCCGCCTGTCTATCCGTCCGTCCGTCGTACACTCGTATGGTTTCCATGGCAACCGTTACCATGACAACTGTTTCCATGGCAACCGTTTCCATAGCAACAGTTACCATGGCAACCATTATCATAGCAACCGTTTCCATAGCAACCATTACCATAGCAACTATTACCATGGCAACCGTTTCCATAGCAACAGTTACCATGGCAACCATTACCTTAGCAACCGTTTCCATAGCAACCATTACCATAGCAACCGTTTCCATAGCAACCATTACCATAGCAACCGTTTACATAGCAACCATTACCATGGCAACCGTTTCCATAGTAACCAATACCATAGCAACCATAGCAATTCACAAATAATGTAATTATAAATTATTTATTATATACAAATAACTTTTGATTTGAATTTAAAAAGCCACGAAACCCTAGATGTAGGCGCTTTGAGCATGCTTCTTTCCCTGATTTTTTTTGTTTACTAAATAAATTATTTTTAATTTTTATTTTAATTTTAGAATAATATCACACCTTTGTGTACAGTTATTAATTAAAAAAAAAAATTTTGAAAGGACTGTAATTAAATTGATGAAATATTAGTCGTGAATTGCAAAAAGGACTCAAATTTAAAATCCGTAAGAGTCATTTTCACTATCAATTGTTATGCGAAAATGACACTTACGCTTTTTTGAGATGAGCCATTTACGAAATTTACGATTAAATTGTTTTTAAAATAATTATACACATTTGTGCTCTTTTGAAATAAAATGTAGCTGAATAATTTATATACATTCTTTATTATGTTTGAATTACTCCTTTTGATTGATAATAATTAATGTACCTATATACTGTTAAAATTACGAATTTCTCTACTTATTAATTCTATTTTCGTTCTTAATTTCGTCTGACCATAAACGGTCTATTTCACTGAAGAAAGATTAACAGATATGAAAGTCTACAAGTGACCCACCACGTACAGTCCTTAACCACTTATAATCGAAGGTCGCAAACATTTCGCTGCAACCGGAAGTATTTCAGATTTAATTCTTCAAATGCTCATATCATAGCAATTTGACACAATAAACTTGTCATTATGCATAATCAGATACATTTAATTTTAATATTTTATATTTATAATGACTTTATAATTAACATGTCGACAAAAGTGGATTATATTTTATCTGTACACTGAAAAAAAAAATTTATTTGATTCAAATAATCAGTTACTTTACTATTATTAAATAAATATTTACTTGAATCAAATAATTTTGATTTGAATTAAATAAACTGTGTTTGAACCAATAATTTCTATAGGTACTTAAAACATTATATCATTTAATTGACTCAAATAAAAATTATTTGATTCAAGTAAATATTTATTTGATAATAATCAAGTAACCGATTATTTGAATAAAACAATTTTTTTTAGTGTATACACGGACAGAAAATAAATATCAAATTTTGTAAAAGCATTTTCAAATTTTGTACAAAAAGTATATTTTCAAGTCGTGGAAAATATTGTAAAAAGCGAAATTTCCACATAACAAATATTAATCTTTAATAAACTTTTATGAAATTTACTATAGTTATAATAAAATATTTGGTAATGAATCAAATTCGTTCTACCAAATTTTATTATAACTATAGTAAATTTCATTAAAGTTTATTAAAAATTAGTATTTATTATATGAAAATTTTGCTTTTTACAATATTTTCCACTACTTGAAAATATGTTTACAAAATTTGAAAATGCTTTTATAAAATTTGATATTTAATTCAAAGAATTTCCAATTCACCGAAAAAATTTTACCGAAATTTCATTTACTCGCACAATTGAAAGAATCTTCAAATTTTCATTTGACCGAAATTTCAAATAACCAAACAAATACAAATTTTTATATAAAAATAACAATTTTTTAAAAACAAATTAATTTGTTTTAACTTCGGGCACGAATTTTTTTTACTTTTTTTATTATTACATAGAAATACTAAGAATATTTGGCAAAAAGTTTAAGAGTGGGTCTGATTAACCTTTTTAAATAAAAAATTTTGAAAATTAATATTTCCAAAACGAAGCAAAACACCTTCGTGAAATTTTAATAGAAGGTAAAGAATATTATAAAAAATCTTTGTGCAAAACCTCAATTTTTTCGGAGCACCGACAAAAAAGTTATAAGTAAATAAAAATCTTGAGAATATTTAAATAAAATTTTTTTTAAAATCGTATATCATCCAAAAATAATAAATTTTTGCAATAATTCTTTCGTTCCTATGTGCGAAATAAAGTGATTTATGTTTTTGGTGAGTTCCAACATCTAATTTTTAATAATTTTTTAATAATAGCGTTTTTAAAAAAATTGAAAAATTTTAAGTTTACAAAATCACATTGTGAATCTCCTACTTTTGATATTTAATATTTTTAAAGGGAATAAAATTTTTACCATAATATTATGGTTAATGAACTCAGGGAATCATCGAGTTTCACATATATTAAAACTAGATTTTTTTTAAATTTGGTCGCAACCACTATTAGACGAAAGTCAGTGGACTAACCCGTTCTCAATGGAAAAAAATGATGATGTAATAAAACAATGAGAAAGAAAAAAAAGAGAGAGAGAGATGATGTTACCTCTGTGACAAGAGTACTGTCGTAGTCTCTAGTGTCGTAGTCCCATCCGTAACGACATTTGGTGACTGGCCAATTGGGATTGCTGACTGGTGGTGATGGAAGACGATTTGGTGGATAAATCAAATTTGAAGATATTATGGAAGATGATGAAGAAGTTGAACTCTCAAATTGAGAATCGTTTGATAAGAAACTATCTAACCAAGACTCTACAATTGAGGTGTAATTTACATCATACATTGTACATCTGTCATACTCTTTTCTTCCATCTGACCTAATTCTATAAGGCAGTGAAAGAGCCTTACGTTCTTCCAGGCTAAGAATACTTGTTAAGTTGTCTAGTTCTGGTATTTTGCACCAGTGATCCGGCGATGCGCTGACAAACACCTTAAAAAAAAACGAAATTCATTTTACTTAAATATAAAATAAATGGAAATAAATAAATATATGTGTATGTCCACATGAAAATAGACAACTTTGTCTATTTTATTTTAGGAGATAATCGCAATTTTCTAAAAGTGATTCAGATTTTTGATTTTTTTTTTTATTGTTGAAAATCAAACTACAAAGTGTTTCACGTTAAATTATTTGGATATACTTCCGAAGTAGGGGTACCTCCGATTTTAATAAAACTTGGTATACTAACGTATTTTGGTGCGCTGATTACGAAAATGATAGTGAAAATTGGCGCAAATTTGATTATCATGGTAAAAACCATAAAAAACACCATAAAATAATGGTTTTTTACGATTATCTCGTAAAAAACAAAAAATTTCGAAAAAAGTTTTAGACAAAAGTTGTAGATCTCAAAAAAACACACATTTTATGTTTTATGCATTTTTTACCAAAAGTCATTATTTTTCGAGAAAAATCCAAAAAACGAAAAACACCATGATAATGAAAACATATACAGCAGTCATGGTTAGACATATTATTTGACTCGTATATAGTATGGGGTACCTTCGATCTTAATGAAACTTGATATACTAACGTATTTTGGTACGCTGATTACGAAAATGATAGTGAAAATTGGCGCAAATTTGATTATCATGGTAAAAACCATAAAAAACACCATAAAATAATGGTTTTTTACGATTATCTCGTAAAAAACAAAAAATTTCGAAAAAAGTTTTGGACAAAAGTTGTAGATCTCAAAAAAACACACATTTCATGTTTTATGCATTTTTTACCAAAAGTCATTATTTTTCGAGAAAATTGGTCCGAAAGTAATTTGCGGAAAATGTGGGGTGGAGTCTACAGCAGCGGTAAATGCAAAATATTAAACACGGCCTTCGGCCGCGTAAGGTACTGCTCGCTTCTCTTTTTAAAAAATACCTTGGCGAGAGGGGGTGGATATGGCCGAAAGTATTTTGCGGAATTCGTTAGATCCTGACTAATGGTGAATATGATACTATATACGAGTCAAATAATATGTCTAACCATGACTGCTGTATATGTTTTCATTATCATGGTGTTTTTCGTTTTTTGGATTTTTCTCGAAAAATAATGACTTTTGGTAAAAAATGCATAAAACATAAAATGTGTGTTTTTTTGAGATCTACAACTTTTGTCTAAAACTTTTTTCGAAATTTTTTGTTTTTTACTAGATAATCGTAAAAAACCATTATTTTATGGTGTTTTTTATGGTTTTTACCATGATAATCAAATTTGCGCCAATTTTCACTATCATTTTCGTAATCAGCGCACCAAAATACGTTAGTATACCAAGTTTTATTAAAATCGGAGGTACCCCTACTTCGGAAGTACACCCAACAATTTTTACAATATTTTCGGGATATTTAAAAATTTTTGAAATTTGAATTTTTTAAAAATATTTTTGATTTTTTTTATATTACGTAGGGGAATAGTGTCAGGGTTGGACACTTGGCTTTTTTTAAATAAGAACACTAGCGCCACCTGTGTGCGTACGTGACGAATTTTCTAGTAGTGTAACCTAACTTTTTGTGGCATTACATTTTTGGAGAATCAAAAGTAGCGTCTCCTGTGACTTCGGTGCAATCGAAGAGACAAAAAAAGTTTTGTTTGACTTGTGAATAAACCTAAAAAATGTGTAAAAAAAGCAAGAATTCGGCAAGGTAACCATATTGAATGTATTGTGGGGTACATAATTTAAGAAGAAAAAAAGTGAAAAATCGAATCGCGACACATGTCTGGTTATGGTTAGCACAATTCGAAAATGATGCTTCTAGTTAGGGTTGGACACCCATATTAATTATGAATTTGACACAATTTATAAATAAATTTTATTTTATTGATATTTCAGTGCAAAATTGTGCCAAAGATATTAGAAAAATAATACTTAAATTGTATAAATTTTGTTCATCATTTCATTGAGTTATTTGGAACAATAAAGCGTTATTTTTTGTAATTTGAGTTCATTCCTTTTTTAAACCCATAAAGCTTTACAATTTGTAAACAATAAGTAAAGATAAACATGAAAAAATAAGAATAAAAAACATTACAAATGTTATTTTACGTTTTTATCAATAATGCGTTTCGATTTTTAAAAAGTGTCCAACCCTGGCTGAAAATTCCAACTCTGACTAGATTTTTTTTTTAAATGTTTATAACTTTTTTAATTTTGGACCAATCAATTTACGGTCCACAACAAAAGTGTTCCTCTTTTGTAGATCTTTCCACCCATATACCACAATTAACTGAATTTATCTAAACAAAATATTTATAATCAAAAAACCAAAACTGTGTCCAACCCTGACACTATTCCCCTACTTTAATGTCTTTTGCTGCGCTGATTATCAAAATCATAGTGATAATACCCGAAAATTTTATTTTTATGGTGCAAACCATAAAAAAAAGTTCTAAAATTTATGGTTTTTTCATTTATTGGGTAAAATATGCAAAATTAAGAAAAAACTTGCTAAAAAAAATTTGAAAAAAATCATAGTCTTCTAAATCGCTAATCTCAATTAGTACTAAAAGAAAGAAAAAAGTTTCGAAAAAATCGGAGATGCAATTGCAATCGTTTGTAAACAATTCCTCGTATATACTAAATATTAATATCTCCAATAAAATTTAGTTAAAAATTTCCTGAAATTATCGCTAAATATAGCAGAGCTACATAAAAATTAAAGGTTCCAAAGATATTCCCTTATAAAAAAAGCCGAATGTCGAATAAGTACTTATAATAATTGGCGACTGAATGTCGCTTGAAAAAACGCCAAATATATAAGTATGTCAACGGAAGTTTAAAGAGGGACCTTTTATATAGAAGTACTCGAATGATAACAAGCTCCTAAAAGGCAAAAATAATACGCTGTTGAATATTAACAAAAAAAAATATGATTTTACGATTATATTGAATTTCGATTATTTTAATTTTCATATTATTAGTTATTATATTGATTCAGAATTATTTTGATTTTGGTTTTTTTGTGAATTGTCGGCTTCTTTATAGGAATTCGAAAAAAAAAATTTTTTTTCGCTTGACATATTTTTCTACGTATCAATGACCTTTTTACATTATATAGACATTCATTAGACATTCAGCGCGAACACCTGTTGCATGACACTTATAAAGATGTTGTGAATTATTAACATTGAATTTCAATTTTCCTGAATGTATCAGTTTGATTCTAAAATTTAGATCAAATTATGCAACATTTTGATACCCATAAATGGTATCAAATTGATTCTCATTATTTTGATCATTTTTTGATTCCTAAAATTGGTAATAGAGTACAATTGTCATGGACGATATTTAATTACTGAAAAGTTTATGAATTGATTTCCTGATTTTACTACATTTTTGAATATATCGAAAATAATATTATTTTGATTTTCAAGTGTGAAACAAAAGAAAAATAAACAATCGAATAAAAAAAGCACTTTTTTGAAGATGAAGTAAAATACATTAAGCTGTGTTGATAGTTTGTTACAACATATTAAAGGTGAATTTACAATTCGCATATTTTTGAATATTTAAAGAGGTTCTATATGGATAATCGAATAAACAAACAGATTTTAATAATACTTGGTGTACTACTAAATAATGCTTCTAAAATTATGTAGTTAAATTTTTGAGACCTGTAGGTTCTTGAGAAAAAAGTTATATTCATTTTATTTTTTCACTGTTTAACATTGATTCTTATGGGAATTCGTTATTTTTTCACATATATTTTTGTACTACAAATTATTAAAGAAAGAGATATTAATCAAATTATGTATAGTTAAACACAGATATGTAATGAACCGATATTGTATTTAAAAAAGGACAAAATAGGTACCTGTGAGAGTTCAAATTAATTAATTTATAAATTTTTTTTTTATTTTTTGTGATACAGCAAGCAAAACTTCCAACGTCTGGCAACACGGTATTCCGCGCGTCAATATTTTGAGGTTAGAATATACTCAAGCGTGCGTTATTAAAAAAAAACATACAATACTTGAAATAATTAAAGTATATAAATAAGATAAATTATGGAAAATAATATATGAAATATTATATTTAATTATTAATTTATTATATTATATTAATACTTAATTAATATGTATTAATATTACAATTTTTTAATCCTATAATAATAATAATATAAGCAGTGTTGCCATAGACTTTCTAATTTACAAAGTGAATCAAATCAGAAAAAAATGGTTATTGTTTTGACTAGTTGAGTCAAGCAATAGAATGTTTTCGACGTTTTCGACATTGTAGCCGCATTAATGGCAACATAACCTCTTTTTGTTATTTACTTTCCGGTTTATTGTTGATAAATAATTATTAATTAATAAATAAACTATTTAAATATTGGTCAATTGAGAACTTTCAATTGAGTTAAATGATATTATCTTATTTGCAATAATTACGTAAAAAATTTTAACATTATAAATGTGCTTCCGTTTTCAATTTAGAAGAGAAATACTAATACAATTTAAATTTTATCAAAGCATCGATAATTAATTTTTGCCAATATCAGAACTTTTGAAAATTGGTAATTCGAAACAAGCAGATTTAGGGTCAGATTTAATCCCAAAATTAGCCTCATGTATAATACATATAATACACATTTAGAAAACTCATGTATAATACGTGTATATTACACGTAAAATACCTTGTATTATACTCGAGGTTTTCTAGGTACCCATCTCTGTTGAAAACACAATCAATCATAAAATAATTATGTAATTGAAATAACAATGGTATGTAGAAATAATAAAGGCCTAAGCACAATAGAAACGTAACCGTATTCGCAATCGTAAACGGAAAAATGAGTTAGAAAAGGATAGTCATATATTGTTGTTCTTCTCACAGGTGGCTGGAAGGAAAAAAAAGTTAAAGGCCTGAGCAGAATAGAAACGTAACCGAAATCGTAATCGTAAACGCACCCGAAAGAATGAGTTAGAGAAGGATA